CACACCTCCCCCGTTTGCACTTGTGCCAACAGACACTTGACCCTTTCTTGAACTGCTGCTTTGGTAAAAGGCCTTTGTAAGAATCCCTCTATTCCACAATTAAACGAATAACTTCAAAGCTTGTCCAACAATCTGTGAAAACCAGCTTTTGGACAGAGTTTCGAGCAATCCTCGACAAGAAGGGTGAGGGGAGGAACTTCGGACCCGGGGCCTATTCATGGGGAGACGGGAGCCATGACTCCCACTGACGCTAGATGTCGAGGGCACGGCGCGTCCCTGTATAAGATCGGTCAGTGAAGTGCTGTGCCATGCAAAGGATGTGAGTTCGAAAGACATCAAGAGGTTCCTTAAGAGGTGCGCAATAAGATTCTTTGATCAGAACGAAATAAAGTTTTCCACGTAATTATATAAACAGGTATTCTTTTGATTTGGAACAATACTGTAGATGCCCATACTTTTCAGTAAGGGCAACACATGTAGATAGATCACATACCTTTTTCAACTTCGGCAAATGATTATTTTTAAAAATGCTATGGCCGTTAAAAGCGAGACAAAGCGTCAAAAAGGACCTCCCTGCGCTACTCTAGCAAAAATCCTTAACGTGACCATTCTCGATGTGCTGCCTGTACCCAGCAGCTTCGAGAGCCAGTTCTAGCATGTATATTGATTAGTAGCTTGATGAGTTCCTCGCGACAAATCTAGCAATATTGTCGAAAATTCTATAAACTCCAATGAACGAAGTCCATTAGAATTCGTAGACTTTTCGACTGTTTGCCCTTCGAAGATAATCCGCTGACTACACCCATTATGCCCCTTACAACTTCACGGAAAGCTGAAGACACTTCCCCTATTGAGGAAGCCTAAACGTTGAGTTACCTTTTCGCTTCCCTCTGGATTATACAAAGTGCAGAGCTTCGGAAATCTTTAGTCCTGCAAACAGCCGGGAAGTTCATGGTGGGTGCTCCAAATCGTCGATCGATCGTCGATAAGAGCCTTGCCTTGCGAGAGCTGTGGACTAGCAGAAGGCCAATGCAATTCACTATGATAAATCTTTTCAAAGGTGACGATACAGAATAAGACACACACAGTTGGAATCAGCGTTGGAACCTCTACATAGCCGTGCAAAACCTATGCGGAAATCGTTGGAAATTTTTCCCTTTGATCTTCGCCATTTTCACTGATCGGATATCGGATATCCACTTTTGATCTACAATGTCGATGGCTGCCGACGCGGCGCCGTCTAATCGAAAACGAGGGACCAGCAAAAAATTGAGGGATTGAGAGACTGGCATAAATCGAAGGATTGAGTGGAAGGAACTGACTGGTTCGAAGAGGCTAAATAATTCTTAAGGCAAAAACGAATGATCCCAAGGAGGACGGCTTCACTAAGTTGTACACTGAATGCATTCAAATATATATTAGTTATATAGACAAAAATTCGAAGCAGAAAATGCGAAATTTTGTTATTCAATCCTTTCTGCCATTATTAAGACCGTTTAGGAAAAACAGACGCGATTTGGGTGTTTCATACGCGCGCCCTATTACGTGCTCTAACCGTTCCTGCAAGAGCGCTCCACTTCCTGAGAGAGGTCCCTGGTAAAAAAAAGCAGTACCATGAATATTATGAATAAGCACCGAATGAAACATAAATAGTAGAGATATGAATAGCCTAGGCAACATGATGTGAGGGATTTGATCCCCGGACCATAAACACAGCAGCGGCCTTTCTTCCCATTACACCACCCCTATTCAGACGAAAACTAGAACTGAGAATCGACGATTTCATAGCTGATGTTAGGGAAGTGCTAGTAATCGGTCTGAACCGAATTTCAGCTCGCTCAGCACCACACTGGTCCGAAATTTTCTTGGAGTGCACCACACATACGACTTCTGTTCGAAAGTGTGGTGACATGTACTTCGCCTATAAATTAATTAACACTGAGCAATCATGTGAACGCGTTTTTAGTCTCTCGGGTCTGGCTGTTTTCAACAGACGAAAAGAAGGCTAATTAGGCATGAGCGGGACTGAAATTGGGATTCGGCTCCTAAACCATGCGCATGATGATTGCTGCCCACAAAGGAATCTTAAAGCCACGAGTCAGGATTAGGCAACCAGCAGAAGTTCTTCCCAGGGTGCGATAGTGGGCTCCCCAAGCACTGAACTATCGCGACCCAAAAGTGCGCGGCAATGGCGCTAAGGCCTTGCCCGCCGCGCTGCCAGCGTAATCCACCACGGCATACGTGGTCTCTGCGTCTCTCGCGTACGACGTACTATCTCGCGTTCTCCCTCTCCTCGCAGCGCTGTGTCTCTCCGTCGTACTACGGCCGGCCTCCTAAGGGAAATTTAGTGTTTTCTATGGTGCTTTTTGCTTTTTCTCCTCACTAATGTTCCTCATTGCACCCCTTGCCTAATGTTTGAACAAAATAACGCATCAATTCAATCCCGACTCGTGCCTTTAAGGAAGCGTCTCCCTGGGAAAATCCTCTCATAGAACGATGCCTTTCTCCTTCACCTCAAGTTTTCCAACGGTCGATGGTGTCTGTAGCGTTGTTGGTGGACCTGCCACCACTTGACACACTCCAATTCTGCTTTCCAAACTATTCCAATCCGTCACAGAGCGGAGGGGGCGATGAATACGGCATCCGAAGCGGGCGTTGCCTGTACTGCAACCTATGCATCCGTTTCTAGCAATCCCCGGCCGGGATGGTCCTCAAAACTAGGCTTCTCTGAATGTATCCCCTATGTTTGACCATGACGAGTGAGTCATCGACCAGAGAGACGCCAGGTTCTGGGGACCGGGTGTTCCCCAAGAGGCCCATCGCGCGGCGAAGGAAGAGACGCAGACGCGGCAAAGGACGAGTCGCAGCGCATACTGTAGCGGTTAGGCGTCAGGTTAAATAGAGTGTACCATACTACGTCTCATATCGCACAGCACGCGCTGCGACTCGTCATTGCGTCTCTTCCTTCGCCGCGCGAACGGGCCTCTTGGGGGACACCCTTGGGGACCCATCTCAGGCTAGGGCTTGCTGCACCCGGTTCCTGGTGCAAGCATCGAGACGTGCACGTTCTACCGTAGCATCCATATGAAAGTAGCGCGATCCTGTCTCAAATAACTACGACTGGCACAGCGACACAGTTTCGTTCTAGCAGTGGTGAACTGAGCGTTTTCTTCGTTTGGGATTTCTGCCTATTTCCCGCAAGGGTGTCAGAAATGCTAAAAGAGTTCGAAGGCATTTTTCAAACCGTGAGCGCCACGTTTAGGTCTTCGGGGAGAGGGTGAACAACGGTCAGGAATTCCTCGACCATGGCTCTGTACTGTGCGAGAGTAGTGCCGAGAGTGAACGTACGCGCGGAGAGCACAGACGGCTCGCGCATGGCGAGTGTGAATGTCCGCGCGGAGAGCGTAACTGATCAGGCGAAAATCCTCGACGTGCCGTTGAGGAATCCTCGACCGATATTCACCTCGCTGGAGAAAGACGATCTGGTCAAAACGTTTGGTCGTGAACCAATTTTCACCTAAAAATGTACAGCACACATTAAAATGTGTGAACGAGGAGTTCTTCTGCCCAAGGCCGGTGTAACTCAGCTTGTTGATTTCATTGAACAAACATCATATAACGAGAATATCACCATTTTCTCCCAAAATTTATTTCAAAGCCTAGAAGTGGCTGATGCGAAGTGAATATGTTCCTATCAGCCATCGGTACCACATCGGTTGAAATGCTTTCGAAATGCACCAGAATCGAACACACCCTGCGCTCATTTTCAGTCACCAGAGTAAGCTGGAACATCAACTAACAAAGTAAGTAAATATCTATCAGCAGTTTTTCCCAGCACCAATTAAAATTAAGCAAGAACAAAATCGTTTGGGAGCCCTAGAAGAAAACTGTGCTAACAGCGAATCACTGAGACCGGCGAACCGGCACTTTTTTCGCGAAGTAAGGCATAGGAACAGGAAAAGAATTGATTGGCAAAAAACTGGTTTTAACAATAATTTATTTTCCCATTTATGTGAACAATTCATTCTAATACATATGTTGCGATATGAACCTTTGCCCTCGGGACTCTGCTCATCATAACCTTCGTGAACATTCTGTAACGGCGAGCCTCCTGTAGTGAAAGTGCTCGCGCTTTTGATGCTCGAACGCCAGATGGTTCCGGTGATGATTCTTCCTCTCTACTGGTATACACGCCAAGAAAATCAAATTTACCTTACTTCTGCAACTATATGAATCGAGGGAAAAGCACAGCACAGGCAGTACCGGGAAAGAGCAGAATCAGTGGCGTAATCGCCGGGATTGCCACATCTGTGAACAGGAGGACTCAGAACCAACTAACTATTGCTGTAGATGCCCCTCTACCGCTCGAAGCCTACCGTAACGGAAAGTGCACCAAGGTTATGCTCCGAAGATGCGGGCTATATCGAAGCGCTATACAATAGAATTATAAGGCTCGTAATATACAAAATAAAGTACTATGCTGTAGTCTAAACTCTTCTATTATTCAACGAATGGTAAAATGAATACAAAATGAAAGTGCAGCTAAAATGGCAAGTGATGTGAGAGCGGCACTTCGGAACTTTTACATATGATTCAGAACCCGGATTATGTTTTCAAGACAATTATGCACACACCATAAATACACATGGGCATTGAAGATTCCGAAAAAAAAACACGAATGTTAACGACTAGGCAAAGCAGTCGGTTCTAAACCCGTAAAATGTACGGAGCGCTATCAGCGATGTCTACAAACTCTGTAAGAAAACCATTCCCCACGCAGGCTCCACTCTGGACTTTTACTACTCGAAATTTTTTCCACCAGCTGACTGATGCGAGAGGGAAAAAGGAGCTAATAAGTACGAACATTTTTCTACAAGAAATTTCTTGTTACATTCCACTAAACTGTGAAACTCTGTGGACTAGATGCAGCATAATGATACCAACGCTGAGCGTGATAATCCCATCAGAACGAGAAATGCCAGCACGGAGAGAACAGACTCCTACTCTTCCTCACTTCTCAGCTCATCATCGTCATCAGCAGGGTTCTCCTCGTCAAAGTAAGAGAGAAGTGCCACGTCGATGATACAGAAAGTTGCTCTGAAAACAGTCCGATCACAATGAAGCTGAGCTTTTTTTCTGATTATCCGTTACAAGCGAACCTTCGCGAAGAACCACCACCACCACTCAGATTCATAACGGCGCTATAGCGCGACACCTGAGCATGGTAGTGGCAGTACATTTAAAACCACATGAAACATCATTTTTTTGTTGAAAACGGGTCTAAGCCTCAGGTTGAATAGTCATGAAGGCGCTTTCGCAAGATACGGGGCATTCTTTAGAATTAAGCCTGGGAGGGAGTAGCAGCAAAATTGCTCACGCATCCTGAATTCGAAACAATTTTCATTTTCCCCAGAGTTACTGCACCGTCTTTAATCCCGTAGGGCGCTCCGTATCTTGCGATAGCGTCATCATAACTTATTGCTAAATTAGCGTCGTCTATAGTGCCGACCAAGTTACAAATGCAAACCTGCATGTAGGACAGGAGCATGTCCCTTCAAGCCATGATGCTGGTCGGGATTGATCCTGTTTAGCGAGGAATATACGAGCCATGCATGAGACGCACCTTGAAAGGCTATATCAGGATGAATATACATATCACTGCAAAATCTCTAATTCTATAACTTAATTACTACAAGTCACAACAACTAATTCTAGATAGGCGAAGGCTCACCACATCGGACGGCACTGACATGGAGTGCAATTCGACGTTTCACCTTCTAATTCCAAATTAATGTTTACAGTTTGACACTGCCTCCAAAGCTTGACATTCGACAACTTCTCGGAGCATCCAAGACATGGGTCCAGTTCCTAAAATCATGAGCCATCAGAAAAAAAAACATTAAAATGAAAAGCCATCTAACTATCTCCAGATGTCCAGCCATACCTCCTTGATATAATTATGGAATCGCGGATTCTTCTTAGCTTGATCCAGGAATGCCTGTAATTAAGCACCTCATTACTTATATTACCCTTAGCTGCTAATACGTTCCTGCTCGTTGCTGCTATTAAAATAATTAGCAGATAAAGAGAGAAGTTAGCAGCACAAAATTAGACCACCACTCCTTGAGGCATGCCTTACAATCACAACGGGTTTTCAGACAATAAACCTGGAGTGTGAAGAAAGCGATAGTGGAGAAAAGGGGAAGTAACAGCCGAACTCGCTAAAATTGAAGACCTTTTTTTGAGAGACACAGCGCAAAAGAAAGAGCATAGCGCATCGAGCGAGGAGGCCAAACATACGCACGCTAGAGCTTGCATTGCGAACTACAGTAGAAGCCCAGAAGCCAAAGTGGCAAGACCCTGACAGTTTTATTGCGCACTCTCGAGACCTAATGTAAAAAGTGTACTCCACTAATTCCAACATCTTTGTGAGTTGCTCTGACCTACTCACGAGAGCGACTGATTCATTCCGCTCGATCGCAAAACGTACCTCCAAAAGCAGATAGCACGATGAATTGGACGCTGATGACGGAGGAAATTTGCCTACTTCAAAGGTAGGCTGGGTTTCTAGGGAAAAAAGGTGGCACTTTAGCAGCGAATGAGCGACCCATGGCAATGTGACAAGGCATTGTGGGTTTTAGACCGTCTCCCCTGGTTTTCCCTTTAGTGCTGCACTTCTAGCAGCCATACATTCATCTCGAGCGGAGCAATTTGTTACACCACCTGCCGTTAATTAATAGATCGTGGCGAAAACTTCTTACAGTAACTCATAAAATTCTGGACTGGATTGTAAAAGAATAATCACGTTCTCGTGAAAATCTACTCACCTTTATGAACTTGTCGGTCATCGACATTTTCAGTCTAACCTCTTGCGAAAATTCAATGCGACCGGCTCCCAATTTCGTTTCCAAATCACGCATAGACACATTGTCGATTCTGGAACATCCATACAATAACATCAAATCTCGCTGAGGTGAGAATTGGTGCGCTTAAACTACCTACTTGAATTCAAAGTTCAAGTGCTTGATATCAGGAGGTAATGACACGGCAACCGTGAGGTATTGATTCATTCCAAGGGCATGATGAAGGCGATTCTGAAAAAGAATGGGGGTACTAGTTCCACGGACCGAGGGAGTCTGACCTAACAATTGATTTTGGGACAAACAAATAGTAGCGGTTAAGTTTTCGCCGAAACGGTTTTTCGTGCTTCGCTTTTCTTTTGCCAGAAAAAAATCAGTGGTGACCTCCGAACTTTTTTTGACAACACAACACAACATACATCAACACGTATCCTGATTTTTTAAGACTCAAGATAGAAAAACACTAGAAAACATACAAGGTCAATCTTTGGAGGGTGTTGCTCAAGAGAAAAATAATGCACGAAAAATCGTTCCGGCGGCGAACACTTTTGACCGCAAATGTATATTCACATAGCATAAAAGAGAGTTAACAGTATTGAGAGACAAATATTCCCACACGTGAAGGAGCAGCTATGCTCTGCTTAACCCGAGATAAAAGAAAGACAAGGGCAATTCCATCACTCTCAATAACTCCGCTTTAAAAACTATACATCCTTAAAAGAAAAAAATTGTGATGTGTGAAATTGACGATAAAATGACAATAAATTGACGATTTAGTACTCCAAGAGGAAGAAAACAACCACAGTTTTCTCTATTACAGTTATTTCAAGATTAATAACCATAAAATAAACTGTAAACTTACTTAAAATATTTACGAAAAGATTATTGTAATACTCTGCAAATAGGACAGTATGGATGGATAAGATCACTTACCATTGTATCCTCAGCCTGTACGACATGAAACTGCACATCTGGTAACTTTGCCACTACAAATTGAAACCTCGAACAATAGAAAAGGCAGGAATCAGTGATGATGATCTTGCTCACATCTGAAATGCCAACATATAACAAGCAACCTCTCGCAGACAAAATTGACTTATGTCGAAAAAACTCAGCAACATACTTGAGATTGAGTGCCGAAAGGCATCGATACGGATAAATTCACTTGAAAGTGTGGTAAAAACCTGCTGAGTATCGTAACCGTAATCCTTCAACTTTTGCATAGCGAGTAAATTACGGAATCGCGTCATGGTGTGATAAGCGATGTAGACGACTGCTCCTGGAACAGACCATTACGGATTGGCATTATAGAGCTTTAGTTCATCATCTACTCTATTTTCCCTGTTGTTTAAAAAGGGTAAAAAGGAAAAAAAAACTCGTTATTCAGTCACTGATCACTGCAAGAAGAGCTATGCCGTTAAGGAGATCGCAAACACTACAACTGCATGCGTGCCCTTTATTACCACACAACCCTCGGACCGAGCGGTCGCCTGGCCGAGGACAGGAACGAGTTGGGCATGTAATAGGTGGATCAACATCGAGTCCCCCTTGCGCGCTCTGATTCAAAGTCATCGCAATCGCTGCCTTGAAGTCAAAGCACATGTAATCTATGGGTGAGTGTCGCTAGAACAGAGAGCGGCTTTTCAGTTTTCCGCAGTGCGGAACTTTCGCTGCGGGAGCTCTAGGTCCACAAGGTTCAAAGCGCTTGAGAAAGAGAGAGTGACACAGCAGCAATGAAGAAAGGAATGCTAAATAGCGCTGAGGTAAAACGAAAATGACGCCGAGAACGCTTAATTCCGATAGAAAAAAAAACATAAACTAACCCTACGGTAATTAGAATTAGTCACTCAATTTATCTCAAAATTGAGCAGGAGCGTATTTCTATCACCACAAAGGATGAAACGAAAATGTAAGAAGTATGAATTGACGGAGTTTTGCATAAATAACCGAAACTATTTTGTACCATATTTAAACCTATTTAAAGAGTTACTAATAAAACTCACCGAATGCTATTAAAGGAGAAATCAAAGAAATATAGTGTATAACCCTTGTCGGATGCGAAGTAAACAAGATGGCGTGCTCCTTAGTGAAATACATACTCAGTATGAGCACTGGAAATCATTATTAAAATAGGCGAAATAAAAAAATGCGCACTATTACCCAACCCAAAGGTAAACAGAATACCAAGAACTCACAATACGGTAGACAGACAGTGAATGCTCGTGTAAGAACGAAGCGTCTACAATGGAATTCCAGGTAGTTCACTTCAGGTGATCCAAGGTATGCATAGGCAAGGCTATCAAAAGTGAATCCAGCCCCTACAACGAAATCATTTTTAACAAATGCGAATCGTCCTCGCGTATGTCCGCATTTTTTCGTTTTTTGGCTCCATTAACAGCCTTTAGGTAGCTCAAGGAAAACTTATGCAATCGTTGTTTTCGCGGTTCGGAAGTACAAACTCGTTCAGGAAAAAAGAAATATAGTCAAGCATATAAAGCGAAACGGTTTTCCGTGTGCACGCACCATGTTTAACACACGCAAAATGTAGAAAACTGAAGGAAAAAGAAGGAATAAAACAATTTATATAAACTGCAGAAAAAAGTGTAGGCACCGGCAAAAGTATTCCAGACAGGCAAAGCCGACTACAGAACAAGGATACATCATCGTTCTATGGTACGCGACTGCCCACTCATCACTCACTCATATGAGCTTGGGGAGCAGTCATAGTCGGTCGTCCGATCGTAACGATAAGATCGCACAGCATTGGATGCGTATCGATCGTCCATCCTCGGACACGTCTGACGATCGATACGCATCCAATGCTGTGCGATCGTTACGATCAGACGACCGACAATAATGCGCTCTGGGAATGGGAAGGGATTCTGGGGATGTGAACAATTTATGATCAAACTGAGGTTCTTTCCCTCTTCTGAGCTGAGTCCTGTCACCTACCATCAGCCCTGTTTTGAACGTCCTCCCAAAGACATGAGCGCCCTCATTTTTCAAAGCAGTGAGAAACTGCGCAGTGTCGAAATAACTATACGAAAAGTATTACTGTTGGGAGGCTTGTACGATAGACAAAGATGAGAAGTTTAGCTCGAATATCGAACAATTTAACCCATAGGGCGCACGCATAGTCGGTCGTCCGACAGCAACGATCGCAACTGTCTGACTGTCTAACTGCATCTAATCGTCGAATACTCAGGCAAGTCCGACGATCGATACGCATCCAATGCTGTGCGACAGTTACGATCGTTGCTGTCGTCCGACCGACTATGCGTGCGCCCATATGAAGACGTGCCAGTCCGCGAAACGCCTTTAATAAATTTTGAGCAAACAGGAGAAATTCCCACTTCCAACACTACAGACAAGATGTGAAACATTGAAACTCGAGAACCGTCCATCCTAAGTCAGTAACAATCGTAGATTACGCAGTTGAGGCATCCAAACTATAAGGGACCCATCAGGCGTAAGAACTCTTCACGTGATGAGGTTTTCCGGCTCCGAGTAGTGCTGCATTGTTTTCACCAAAAACGCTTCTCACCAAACTTCAAACTATAATAAGGGATGGGGTGGAGATGGTATGACCTC